AATTCTTTCCATTGTAACTAATTAACAGTGCAGTTATTACCAACTTTAACAAATGAAAGTAAATAACTTGCATAAGCTCCAGAGGCACCTAGATTTACATAGCTGTTGGATTCTTTCAAGAGTTGTAGGTGAATTATATTTTGGAGAGTAAAACTGCATTTTTAAGGAAACGGGGGGCTTATTAATAAATGCTGCTTTGGGCAGTCAAAAAGATATTTGTGCTCCCATGTTCACAGCAGTATTATTCATAGTAGCCAAAGACAGATATAACCCAAGTGTCCATTGATGGATGACTGGATAAACAAAACGTGTATACACACACACACACACAAATGAAAACTATTCAGCCTTAAAAAGAGGAAATTCTGGCACATGCTACAACATAGATGAACCTATTTATAGCTGTGTGAAATAAGCCAGACTGAAAAGGATAAATACTGTATGATTCCACTATGAGGTCCCTAGAGTAGCCAAATTCAGAGACAGAAAATGCAAATAATGAGTGCCAGGGACTAGGGGAGGAGAATGGGGGGTTAACGTTTAATGGGGACAGTTTCAGTATGGGAAGATGAAAAAGTTCTGGGGACGGATGATGGTGATGGTCCTTAATGCCACTGTATACTTAAAAGTGGTTAAAATGGTAAATTTTGTGTAATGTATATTTTCCTACAATTAAAAACAAAAAAGAAAACCTTGTACAGAGTAAAAAAAAAAAAACAAAATGCTGCTTCTGAAGTCTTTGAAAGACAAAGAATAGTTACTGCCTTATCTGTTTAAGTTGAAGCCAAGAATTTTAAAGCTAATTTTCATGTTATAGTATGAATTATATTTCACCTTAATACCTTACCTTTTAAGTCAGGGAATTCAATTCACTGAGCACTTACAGTATTACTAGAAATTTGCTCAATCTATGAATGATCCCAAAGAAGTCTAAACTACAAGAGATTACAATTTGTGTATTTATATACGTGTGGTACTGGGGCAAGATTTACATAGGAAACAATCCTCATTAAGAAATCAAGACAGGCGGAAGTGGGGTGGGGGAGGGAAGGATTGAGAGTTTGGAATTAGCAGATGCAAACTATTATATATAGGATGGATAAACAACAAGGTGCTATTGTATAGCACATGGAACTATATTCAATATCCGGTGACAAACCATAATGGAAAATATGAAAAGGAATATATATAACGGAATCACTTTGCTGTACAGCACAAATTAACACAACACTATGAATCAACTATACTTCAATAAAATTTTTTTAAAAAGACAAAAAAAAATCAAGGCAATTTCAATTACACATGACCCTTGAACAACATGGGGGTCAGGGGTGCTAACCTTCCGCGAAGTTGAAAATCTGCGTATAACTTATAGTCACCCCTCCCTATCCGCGGATTTAACTAACCATGGGCCATGTAGGCACTGTATAATTTCCTACTGAAAAAAATCTGGGTATAAGTGGACCCATGCAGTTCAAACCTGTGTTGTTCAAGGATCAACTGTACTTGAATTATAGGGATTAAAAGTGGGATAATGTACATAAAATATTGTACATTGGCTATACCTCAATAAAACAAAAAACCCCCAAAGTGATAAAAAGAGATTCCTGATATCATCATCTAAACAAAGATCCAATCATCCCTGAGGCTACTGCGAACACTGACCAATAAGTAAAACTTTCTGACTTGAGTAAGTTTGATTTGGGTTTCTATAAATTACAATTGAGAGCCTTGACTAATACAAGAAACATTTGTGGTTCGTATTTTTATTTAAGGAGAATGGGTTGCCAACTAAATTAATTTCAGAAACAGGCAAAAAAAAAAAAAAAGTGGGAGAGCCCTTTTGGATTGGATACATTACAGGAACTTCACTGTTTCATGCAGGCAAGAAGGGGAGCTGTCATTTGAGGTTGCCATGTTATTTAGCCCCCAAATATCTCTTGCAATATTAAGTAGAACGCCACCCATTTCTTCCTTTAGTTTTCTCTTTTGTGTGACGGGGTTTGTCAGCCTTCCCTCTACTTCTAGATAGAGCCTCTAGTATTTGGAGCCTTAGGGAGTACTGGCAGAATGGTAACCAAAGGTTTTTGGAGGTACAAAATAAAGGGAATCTGAGTGCTCAAGATTTATTTTGCTTTGGTTTTATTTAAGGAAGGTTGATTCTGAAGGGTAGGTAGAGTTTAAACATAAAGGGAAAGAATCTCCTCTTTTGGGATTCAGTCATGGTAACTACAGTGGGTTAGGGTAATAAAGAAGTTGCTGTCTGGAACTAGACTTGCCCATCATCCGGCAGGTACAAGACCTACCTTTAGGTACAAAAGTCTGTTCTCACTAGCTGCACATGGTACCCATAGGTTAGTCCTGATAGGTTATAGAACAGATCAGTAGTTGACATCAAGAACCAAGTTGGGTAGTGCCGGCATTAAACAGGTCTAGTAGCAGTTAGCAGTGTCTCAGTCAATAGATTTGGGTTTCAATGCAGAAAAGCAGCCTCTCAGAGAAGGTGGTTAGGGGTAAAGGACTAGAAAGCGAGAGGTCTTATATCTCAAGAGGCTTACATCCTGGACAGATGACCTAAGCAGAGGCTCAGGTTCAGCAATCACACAGGGAGTCTGGTTACCACACTTGAAGCACCAGCCAAATGTACACATCATGGCATTGTACATACTTCTCGAAATAGCGTACCTTTAATTCTGGGATCAGCTGACAAAAAGTACTGCATGTATGAGTAATTATCATGAATCTTTCTGGAGAATTAATTTTACTTGATAGCAATTTAATCCCTGTTACATATTTTTATACTAAAACAAGCAGTCATGCTTTGAAGTAGATGGCTATTTTGGATGAATTTAGACAAGAAAGCACAGATTTCAAAGAAATGCCCACATCTTAGTAAGGAGTTTTAGCTATACTCCCAAGTCATTTTTTGATGCTCTTAGAAAAGTTTGAAATGCAATGAAGGCAGAAGTACTGTCAGAAAAGGCCACTTTAAACTAGGTTCTGCTACTTGTGTGACCTTGGGCAAATTCAGAAATTACCTAATCCCATAGGATTGTTGTAAGATTACTGATAACACACAAGCATCTAGCAGAGTAACTGACAGGTAAATAGGTGCTTAATGTGACAAAGGAGAAAAAGGCTGGGCTACAAATACTTAACCTTGCTGCCTCATATTAGGTCAGGTCCTATATAGCCTGTTAGGTCTCCACATAGAATAAAAACTCAGACTGAAGTGTGAGTGTGGAGTGAAGTTTGACTGCAACATGGCTGGATATGGCAAGGAACTAATGTAAGTCACTTATCTATTCCTGATTACCCACTGTTAGATTTATATACATAGTCATTTTATCTTAATCACTCTTTAAAGACGGCATAATTACAATTTTACAAATGAGATAATAGGTTCAGAAAGGCTCAAACTGACCAAAGTTAAAGAGCTAGTTAGGGAATTCCCTGGTGGTCCAGTCGATAGGACTCCGAGCACTCACTGCCGAGGGCTTGGGTTCAACACCTGGTCGTCGGGGAACTAAAATCCCACAAGCTGCTCGGCATCGCCAAAAAAAGAAAAAAAAAAAAAAGCTAATTAAGTAGTGGAGCAGGTACCTAAGCTTAATCATTCTATCACATTCTACCTTAGGGAGGGGAGGTTCTCCTCTTCCCCAAAATGGGGAGTGGGTTTGAATAAGTGAGATTAAATAAATAATGGCTATCTAGTAGTTATATGGTAGGTCTTGACTATAGAAATAACACAAAAAACATTTAACCCTGAGTTGGTGAACTGTGTTGGGTGATGTGACATGGAAGAGAAGACTAGAGGCAGGAATGTCAGTCAGAAATCTTTCATAGTGGGCTTCCCTGGTGGCACAGTGGTTGAGAATCTGCCTGCTAATGCAGGGGGCACGGATTCGAGCCCTGGTCTGGGAGGATCCCACATGCCGCGGAGCAACTGGGCGGTGAGCCACAACTACTGAGCCTGCGCATCTGGAGCCTGTGCTCCGCAACAAGAGAGGCCGCGATAGTGAGAGGCCCGCGCGCCGCGATGAAGAGTGGCCCCCACTTGCCACAACTAGAGAAAGCCCTCACACAGAAACGAAGACCCAACACAGCAAAAATTAATTAATTAATAAACTCCTACCCTCAACATCTTAAAAAAAAAAAGGAAATCTTTCATAGTATTCTAAGAATACACTGAGAGCGGTTTCAAGTCCAATCATCTTCAAGTACAGTAAAGCCTCGTTAATTTAGACTATAGTATATGGAATTGGCAATAATCTATACACGAATTGAGAAACAAAGAAAATCTGAAAATATTCTTCACACTCCCTCCACCTCCCCACCAGGTCAGCTCGAATCAAAGCTCTGACATTCCCCAGTAACTTCTGCCTCATGGCCACACTAAATTCTAGGTAATGGAATAACTGAGCCCAAACCACAAAGAGTAGCATTCTATACACGATAGCATACAAATATAAGCTACCATGCCCTCTTCCATTTTTCGTTGATTCACCTTCACCAACATTTTTTCCTTTATTTAGCATCTACTTTAGTAAGGTCTTCTGCCAGATAATGGAGACATAGAGCTGGATAAGATCATATACAGCTCAGTTCAATAACACTGGAAATTATGAGACCACCAAGCAGTTCACAGCTGAGACATACACAAAAAACAGGGCCAAACAGAAAGATTTAGAGAATGAAAGTACTGAAGATAAATTAAGTCAAAGGGCTGAAAAGCAAATAGGAGTCTGTCAGGAAGCAAGGAGAAGGAATGGTTTTTTGAGACCTGAAAGCATAATACAGTGATATGTTTAGGCAAGAAGGTCCCTGTGATTGGAGGGTTACAGGGTGGCATGCTTAGAAACATTGGTAGCGATTAGCTCCTAAAAAGATACGTCATGCTAAGAAACTGGGACTTTTCCTTGTGAATCAGTATTTCCCACAGTCATGACCATGGAACCCTTTGAAATTACGTGAAGAAGAAATACCAACAGTAGTACAGGTTTAAATTTTTGATTCTTTACCTTTCTTAAAATCTAAGAGGTATAAAAAATTTGAATCATTTTTTTTAAAACCCCAAGATATCATCAGTGAAGTAAATCATCTTTTATTTTCATCTTATATTTGGTTATCAAGAGGCATGCAAAACCCTCCAATTTTAATGAGAACAGTGTTTTTGTGTCTTTTTGTCACATATCCGCTTAATATTAGGTGTAATGTTGCTAAGTCGGATCCGCATGTGAGGTGCAGCATCGAGTCTTTTCCTGTATTTCGTTTTTGTTGCAGCATAATATGAAAATCCTGTCTCACACAGGTGCATTGTAGCAAAAGGAAGAAGTACACGAACCGCACGCCTTGCAACACTTGGGTACTCTTGAATTAGGCTACTCCAAAAATCATTTAGTGAAAGTTCACTGAAATTTTGTTTCACTTGAGAATCAGATGTTAAATCAATCAGGCTCTCGTAGTCCCGTGCTACTAATGAGGCTGGTTTAACAGTTACTGTAAATGGATTTCTAACCCAAGCATTATTGTCATTTGTTACAGGAAAATATTTTAACAGAGTAGAGCGCAAACCCCTTAGGTGGTGCACTATGGCACTGCAAATATCTTTATCAACTGTAGAATTAATTTCAGTCAAAAAGTCACTGAGTGTAGGAAAACAATCAAAGTTTTCTTCTTCAACAGATGAGGCCCAAAATTCCAATTTTCTTAACAATGATGACATTTTATCAAATACTGTGAACACTGTCACATTTTTTCCTTGCATTGACAGATTAACCTCATTTAATTTAGTAAAAATATCTGCAAGATATGCAAGTCTTAGCAGCCAAGATGAATTTGTTAAACAATCAGACAGTCGAAAAGCAGAATCCATGAAAACCAACAGTTCACGACGAAGCTCAAAAAGTCTTACAAGAACTTTACCTCGGGAAAGCCACCTCACCTCTGTATTTAGAAGAAGGGCTGTGTGCTGGGCACCCATTTCTTCACACAAAATTTTTAGTAGTCTGGATTGATGTGGTCGAGCTTTAATATAATTGATGATTTGTACGGCCTGATCTAGCACATTTTTCAGAGATGCAGGCATTGTTTTAACTGCTAGTGCATGTCTATATAACAGGCAGTGACTACTGGAGCTTTCGGGAGCCACATATTTTATCAAGGTGACAGCCTCAGCAATTTTCCCGTCCATTGCCCTGGAAGCATCACTACAAACATCAACACATTTTTCCCATTCAATTTCATGTTTCTGCATAAAACTGTTAATGCAGTTGAAAATTTCTTCACCAGTGGCATTACTCTGCAAAGACTCACACAAGAGTAGGTCTTCCTCAATAGACTTATTAAACCTGTAACGAACAAACACAAGCAGCACAGCAAGTCCTGAAACATCAGCTGATTCATCTAGTTGCAGTGAAAACCCATCACAAATTTTCAGTCTACAAACAAGCTCTTCTTCAATGTCAGCAGCTAGATCCTTAATTCGACGTGCAACAGTACTGTTTGATAGTTGTACTGCATCTATTTTTTTACTATACTGTTCGTCAAACATCCGCATCACCACATCTTTTGCACAAGGCTTGATAAGCAATTCTCCAATAGTATGAGCCTCTCCACTCAGGGCTATATGGTAACTTACATTGTATGATGCTTCTGTAGCACTTTCATTATCTGTATTGACAATTTTAGGTGCTGGGGGTTTATTATTTTCAGGTGAATCAAGATGTTGCTTGAAAAAGCTTATGTCTTTGTCTTTGTATGCAGCATGTTTAGTTTCCAAATGTCTTCGAAGCTTACTAGGGGCCAAAGAGCTATTTGATAAAATTTTCTTACATAATACACACTGGGCATGAGGTGCATCTCTATTTCCAAAGTAAGTAAATCCAAAAGACAAATAACTTTCATCATATTTTCTTCTTTTTGGTTTCTTACTAAATGTTGTTATTTTGTTGGAATTGGACATAAATTTGACCCTGGAAAGCTCACCTTCTGAATTTTTAGAAACTGCAGGCTGCAACTGCTCATCTTCACTCTGTAATATTCCAACCTTTTGATCATTTGATTCAGACACAATTTGATAACAAAAAGATTCTACTTCTTGTTTAAGACTTCCTTGTTTCAGCAACAGATCCATAGGCAATGAATTTGTGGTACAAAACATGGTTAATTTAGAATAAACATTGAGTATCACAAATGTGTTGAAATTATAAGACAGGATACACAGAAGATGAGCAACCATCAAAGAGATGATATATAGCAACACATCAGTTAATTTGTAAGTGCTGCCTATGCATCAACGCGCAGATGGAACATCACACGTTCGTGTATCAGGTGATCTCTCATTCGACTTCCTGGTGCTCTCAGGTATGGCACACCTTTTCTTAAAGGTAGATTATCACATAAAAATAAAAGCTATAGAAATGAGTTTAGTAGTCTTAAACTTACATTTAAAAATAAATTCTAAAAGAAGAAACTATTGTTAGCATTGATCTTTTTCTCACAACACTTATTAACTTAAGATAACATTAATCTTCTATAAAACACAGTTTGGGAACCATTGGACTAAGAAATAATGAGTTGATAAATGCATTTTTAAGGAAGGGACCTTGAGGTCCCATGGCAGGGTTGGCAAACTTCTCCTGTAAAGTGCCATACGGTAAATGTTTTTTACCTGATGGGCCGTATGGTCTCTGTTGCCAACTACTCAGCTTTGTAGGTGTAGCATGGCAGCAGCCATAGACAAAACGTTAAAGAATGGGCAAGTTGTGTTCCAATAAATCTCTCTTTATAAAAACAGACAGCGTGGGGCCATAATTTATCATCCCCTTTCATGATATACAGTATCTTGGAATCTCTTCTAGCTTTCTGATGCCTACTGCCATTAGATACATTCACTGTTGACACCGTCCTACATCTTAAGGCTCCTTTCAGGGCTAGTAATTATTCTGATAAGCTATGTCAAAAACACAAACAGTTCAAAGTTTTGCAAGACACAGAATTCTGTTGTATCTAAACACTGTGTGTTAACATTGAAAAATAAACTGTAAACCAAAAGTTAGCTACAGTTTCTCTGGACTTAAATTACATAAATATTTATATTATCCAAAATAAGACTCATTCAAAATAATGCATATATTTTACTGATTACTCTACATCCCATTACTCTTTAGGTGAAGGCTTAATGAAGACCTAAAGAAAACTCTCATTTAAATAGGTTTATTCCTCATATAATAGTTTTTTAAAAGCATAATTAAATGGAAGGGTAATGCAAATTTTAGGACCTCTGATGAATACCAGCCTTATAAGTTAAGGCATTCAAATTTAGTATCTACCTAAATATAGCTAGTTTGATTTAAAGTTTGAGTTAAACTTTATGATTTGGCTCAGAGTAAGCTTTGGATTCTCATATCAGATCCTGAATCAAAATGGTTTTCTCAGTAACAGCTAGAGGGTAAGATACCTGAAATGAGGAGCACTCCCTTCTGCAATCACTCTCCACCTTGGCAGCTTGAAACGCAGACGCTTCAAAAAAAATAAAATTAAGGGATAGGGTGGAAGGGGAGTAACCAAAAGCCTAGAATGAGAAAAAATAAAATTAGACACTACAAAAGGAGAACGAACTATACACCTCTAAGATGACCATTCTTTACAATTTATTTTAGAGCCAGGCAGTGCAAATGATTCTTCACTGCAATGCAGATCTTAGACTGAAACAGAAGATGCCTAACATAGTAAAAATGTTAATATTTTCGTCCTGTTTAATACCCTGGTAATTTCATTATTTTGTAACGCTCCCCTATCCACTGACTTCAAAGAAAAACATTAAAAACTCTCAGAAGCGAAACCTAACTTTTAAAAGTACAGCCACACCTTAGTGTCTCTAAAACTAAGCACTGAAAGTAATCTAAAATGGAATTATACATCGAAGGGTTACATGAACTATGCCTTTTTGTTACAACCACTCTTGTCTCAATAACCAAGCTCCTTAACTTACTAATGTTTATTGAGTGATCATTGTTTACTATGTGCCAGTAACTGCTAAATCCTTCCTAGATTAGGTCACTTAATCCTCAAAACAAACGTGAGAGTCAGGGACTATTATTAATAACCCCCCTTTAGGGATGAACAAATAGATACAGAGGCTAAGTCACCTGCTAAGTTAACACATCTGTGAAGAACTCAGAACGGAACACAGAAAGTTCGACTGCAGAGCCCACGTGCCTAGTCACTGCTTGTGTGTCCCTGAATACTCTTATTAATCTCTCAAGCACTAAAAAATCTGTTACCAGGAGTTGGATGGTGCAGAGAGAAATGAATTACAATGGGTTACAACTGCCAGAAAATCGAGGGTCTCAAACTGGCAGCAGGAGAAAGCCCTACATCTTCATTCCTGGGAGCGAAAGAGTAGACCGTCCTTTCACAGTCCTGAATGCGCTTTAGCTGCCGAGAACTTCATGGAAACGCTGGGTGACCTCAAAATTTAGGATTCCTCTCCCCTGCTACCAGAGAAGGACACGACGGAGTGAAAACGCTTTGTTCGGAGGGCCTCAGTTCCACCTTTTTAGAGGTGCTTCCCCCAATCTCTCGAGGACAAAGAGACTGGACTCCCTAAAGCTTCTATTCGACTCCCTGAAAAGGGGCGGGGGGAACCCTCATCTTTTGTCTCTTCGGCTAAGGTGACAGGTAGCACCCTCCATTCAACCACCACCCTCAGGCGGTTCCTGCTCTGAACAATACCCGTGGGGCAGGAGGGCTGGTTAGGAGTGCAGTCCATTCATAAGCCGAGGCAGGAGGTGGGCACGGACACTCCGTCCAGCACCTAAGTGCTTTTATCAACGGTCACCTCGATGGGCGGCCCGGCCACCTATCCCTCGGCTGCTCCTTGTCACAGGAGCGCGCTGCCCACCACAGCTGGGGGGCTGGCTTCCTGTGGGCGTCCACCCTCGCCTACGGAACTGCTCTCGCGTCCCCGGGCGGTCGCCTCAGCTAACAACCACAGGAAAACGTCTCAGCACCCGCCGCTATCTTTCTCCTTCATCTCCATCAGTGATGGAGAGAAGGGTCTCGGCTGCGGCTGGGCTGCGGAGCAGCGCCGCGGTCCCCAGCTGAGCCTGCGGCCGCCATTTTACGAAGCTCACGGCAGCGGCCATTTCAGAGCGCACCACTCAGCCGCCGCGGCGGCTCTGGTCCTCACCTTCACCGAGGCCTGAACGGGGTCAAGAGCCAGTCGTCGCGGACTGGAGGGGAGAAGGGGGAAGGGAGGAAGGGGAGAAATGAAAAACAAAACAGAGGGAAGAAGGATTCGGGGGGCCGGGCGATGCTCTCAGCTCAGGGATATCGCCTATGCCACCTCCATAGAGATCCAATTCGCGGCGGGCGCGGTAGCTCGTCTGAAGATAAATTTAGCACTCTGGGGCACCCGAACTTACTGTCTCCTTGACCGACTCCGCCGCCGCCCAATCAGCGCCGGAGTTGCTCCCCGACACCAATCCGCGCTGAGCAGTGGGGTGGGACCAAAGCAAAGGACCAAGCTCGGTTGAGGCGTTGCCCAGCTGCCGTTGCCCCTGGCAGTCTGGAATCGTGAGCTCGAGGAGGCTGAGTTGAATGGCAGACGTGAAGCGACTGTTTTCAAATTTCCCTGGGCCAGAGCAGCCCCGTCATTTGTTTACAGTGTAGAGTCCTGGGTGCTGCGAGATAGCATTTGTGATCCTGTAGGGCTGGACTGGCTTGGAGAAATCTGCGTATCTACAAGCACTGGGGCTCTGCCCCGGCAGCAGATTTGAGTGGATTCGCGGAGTCTCGGCTGCTGGTGCTTTCACGCCCTCTTTGTTCCCCGAGCCGCACCCCAGGCCCAGATTGCGCAACCGCCTCCTCTTTTCCATGTTTTCTCACTGGAATCGGGGCAGAAAACTCCCTCTCCCTTCCCCGCCCCGGCCCTTCCCGACGCTGGCGTGTCGGGGGCCCCTAGCGCGCAGAGCTGGGAGCTGAGCCTGATCTTGCCGGGGCGCTGCTCTCCGGTGACCCCACATGGGGTCGGGGAGCCGCGTGTTACAGCAGCGTCTTCGCAGCGTCAACGGGAAAGAGGCCACTTCCTGTGCCTTTGCACCCCTCACTGGTGGCTCCCTCCTCGGAGGAACGTCCAGCGCTCTGGAACACTCAGTTTGCTAGCTGTAGCATCGGGTGTTTTAAGCCCATTTCTTCTATGCCCATCCCCTCTTTTTAAAAACAACACAGCAAAAGGCTTCGGGCTGTGTATTCCGTTATTCCATATTGTGTGAGATCCGTCGTGGCGACCTGCAGTCTGTTTTTCCAAACTGGCATCTTAAAATATGTACGCTTCTTGGAGGGAATTTGTTAAAATACGCGTAGCTTTAAACAGTGGGTCCTATTGTTTGCAATATTTTAGATTTTCGAGGCCCCGTAGAAATAGCCAAATGAAAGTTGGATCTTGTTTTTAGGCGCTGCACCAATGACAGAAAATTCCCAACTTGTGGTCAAAAGCAAGGGCAGATTTTGTTTTTCTTAAATATGCTCTTCTTAGATATGCGAATAAATTTCTTAGGCGTTGAAAGAAGTCTAACCTTTTATTTAACAGAATTTTCAGGAGGACTGAAAAAGATGATTTCCTAGGACTGATCATAGATGTTAACATTTGGTCCTAAATGCTTTAAAGTCATTTCAGCATCTTCAGAACTTTGCCCTATGGTACGCTATCCATATGTTTTTATTATCATTTTAAAATGATCCTTCTTAAATCGGCCTCATTTGAGGGGGAAATCATTCTGGGGAAGGGGCGCAATTTTACTTGAAGAGCGAAGAATTTCATTTTGTAATTGCAGGAGTTGTCTAGCTTCTTAATAATATTGGAATAATATCCCACATTTTCATATGTTTTATGTTTCAGAAAAGCCTTTTACATATATTGCTCCCGATCTAATCTTCACGTATCTGGTTTACATCTTCATGAATTGGGAAAATCCAAAACATTCAGCTGATAACAAATTCAACTGAAGTCAAGTCTAGGATTTAATCTAGGTCCAAAAATCCGAAGTCTGATAATTAAGGGGCTTGAAACATAAGAACTTTTTCTGTAATTGATTAGTCGATACGTTATTATAGGATGTTGGTTGCTGAGACAGATAAGAAAACGTATAGACAATGTAGAATTCAGACCAATAATGATAATGGCTAGCATTTATTGAATATGCAGTATTGGCAGAGGCTGTTCTATCTACACACTTTTTAAAGTACTAGCTCATTTACTCTTTACAACCCTGTCAGATGACTATGCCTATTTTACAGATAAGGAAATTGAGCACAGATTGGTAAATAAATTGCCCAAGTTCCCACAGCTAATTGTTGGCAGAGCCAAGATTAAGTGCAGTGAGATTGTGGGAACTACAGGCCATGTGTGTCTGGGCGGGGTGTGCTTGTGCATATTTATATAAGGCAGAAAACGATTTCAACTAAGATTACAGTAATATATTGGGTAAGCCGGTAGAGCTTCACCATGAAAATGGAACTCGGTTAGTTACTTGGGGCTCAAGTAACTAACCGAGTTACTTCCCGTAAAATCATCACAGGAAGTAGTAACAGGAATTTTGACTGATATCCCAAATTTGCAGCCTTAGTTGCTGTGAGAGGTCTGAGATGGCAATTCTGTTCATGTTGGTTGCATGAGTTAATTTGCACTGCAGTTAGGTTTGCCAGAAGCAAATGATGAGACAGGGAGCTCTGGAGTCAGTATCGTAGGTTGGAGTGTCCCACTCCACCCTTTATACTCCCCTCTCCCTCAGATAGTATATGGCGGCCATGGGAAGGGCAGGACTGCAGCTGAGGCAGACCCTGAATGCGCTGACAGCTGTAGGCCATCTGCTGATCACACTACTGGCCCCTGAGCAGGGCAGCAAGTCCTTTCTTGAAGAAGGATCTGAGTGGCACATCTCCATGCCTGCCACAATGTGTCACCTTTAATATAAAAAAGATGGTAAATTAGTACAATTTTCATTATATCTGTAAAAGTTAATAATTTCTGTGGTGTTGTGTGCTTTGTGAACTTTTAAGATCTATGGGGGAGGGTGGGAGTTTAGTGGGTGGGGGGAGGAGGAATTGGATGAGGACGATCAGAAGGTACAAACTTGCAGTTATAAGATAAATAGTCCTAAGGATGCAATGTACAACATGATCGATATAATTGACACTGATGTGTGTTATATATGAAAGTTGTTAAGAGAGTAAACCCTAAGAGTTCTCATCACAAGATACTCTTTTTACTATTTCTTTATTTTGTACCTATATGAGATGATGAATGTTCACTAAACTTGTGATAATCACTTCACGATGTATGTAAATCAAATCATAATGTTGTACACTTTAAACTTATATAGTGCAGTATGTCAATTATATCTCAATAAAACTGGGAGAAAAAAATATGAAACATTTAAGAGAATTTTGTGACCACAGGTATAAGATTGATTTATCGCTATTAGATTTACAAGAGTTATGTAAGTGCTTATAAAATTTCACTGCCAAGATGTTAGATATATTACATTTGTAATTGTAGTTTAAGATATCTAAGAAAATTTAATTAATGGAGTATGCAAGTGATGTTAAATATTCAAGAAGTATATAGTCTGTTATGCTATGAATTAATTAAATCATAGAGAATAAGTGAAAGTGATTGTCCATATTTTTATGCAAAGATTATGAGATTTATAAAGAGACTAACAAGATTTATAAATTGAGCTTTTTAGAGGCTTAAGAAATACAAGTTTACAATTTTAATGTCTTTGCCTATTAATAAACAAATTAGTCATGTCTATTATCAGTTTTTATTGTAGCTAGTATTCACTCCCAGGACTTTCACTATTCCCTCTATGTTCAATGATTCTTAAAAATATAACATGAGCCCTGACTTCCCACTTGAACTTCAGTTCTAGATTTTCAAGTCTGTAGACTTTCCATTTGAATATATACTAAGAGCTCAAATGCAGCATGTTCAGAACTGTACTAAATCTCTCCTAACACTTTTACTTTCTCAACGACTTCATTTTTGTTAAAGATTTTATATTTATTTATTTATTTATTTAGTGGTACGTGGGCCTCTCACCGCTGTGGCCTCTCCCTTCGCAGAGCACAGGCTCCGGACGCACAGGCCCAGCGGCCATGGCTCACGGGCCCAGCCGCTCCGCGGCATGTGGGATCCTCCCAGACCAGGGCACGAACCCGCGTCCCCCGCATCGGCAGGCGGACTCCCAACCACTGCGCCACCAGGGAAGCCCTTATCATTATTTTAATATCGCAAACTAGCAAGCTTTTGGAGTCAATAGCTACTCTTCACTCATCTTCATATTCTGTATGTGCAGGCATCAAATTGTTATTTTCTTCTAATGTTTCTTAGGTTCATCCACATCCCTCCATCACTATCGCATTTTCTCTAGACCAGGCTCAAGAAATGTTCCTTCTAAATTATTGCCACAGTCTTCCTAGCTTCCATTGTTTTTCCATTTAATTGGTTTAGCATACCAATCTTCCATATTTTAGAATCTTGGAGTGACTCACTAGTTCTTCTATGTCATGGCATAGAATCATAAAACTTCAGAGCTGAAGAAAATCTGTAGAAAATAATATAGTCTTCACTCAGTATCTGTAGGGATTTGGTTCCAGGACCCCTGCCCCTTGGATACTAAAAATCTGTGCATGTGCAAGTACTTTTTATGAAATGGCATAGTATTTGCATATAATCTGCTCACATCCTCCTGTACACTTTAAATCATCTTTAGATTACTTATCACACCTAATACAACGTAAATGCATGTAAGTAGTAATAAATTCAATGTAAATGTTATGTAAATAGTTGCTGATGCTTGGCAAATTCAAGTTTTGCTTTTTCGAACTTTCTGGAATTTTTTTTCTGAATATTTTTGATCCAAAGTTGGTTGAATCCTCGGATGTGGAAACTAGATACATAGAGCCAACTGTACAATGTAATCCCTTTTTTCCTCCGTCCTACAGAAGAGAAGAATGAATCCCAGAGTTATTGCATGACTTCGATGTCACATTGATAATTGGTGACAACGCTGAAATAGATCTCAAGGTGTATGAGGCATGTCTTAGGATTTTTTTTTTAATTTCCCATTTTACTGGACATTTAACTGTTCATTTGGCATATATGCCATAAATATTTTTTAAATAAATTTATTTATTTTATTTTTGGCTGCATTGGGTCTTTGTTGCTGCGCACAGGCTTTCTCTAGTTGTGGCAAGCACGGGCTACTCTTGGTTGCAGTGCGCGGGCTTCTCATTTTGGTGGCTTCTCTTGTTGCGGAGCACGGGCCCTAGGTGCACGGGCTTCAGCAGTTGTGGCGCATGGGCTCAGTAGTTGTGTCTCGCGGGTTCTAGAGCACA